ACAGCTTCCACTCATTCACCATGTTCTCCACATCCCTACTGCTGCTGCTGCTGCTGGCTGCTGTGAGCTGTAAGTACTTGGTAGATTACAATCTTTCTCTGAATGAGATTTATATCTTAAAAACTATAAGAAATCACACATGAATTGTGTTCAACAGGTGTTCACAGTGTTGCGCTGACCCAGCCTGGATCCATGGTCATTAATCCTGGTCAGTCGATGTCACTGACCTGTAAAGTTTCTGGATATTCACTGACTGATAGCAGCTACTGTACAGACTGGATACGGCAGCCTGCAGGAAGAGCTCTGGAATGGATTGGAGAGATATGTGGAGATGGTGGCACTTACTATAGTGATAAACTGAAAAGCAGGTTTGAATTTCCAGAGACTTGTCCAGCAGCACAGTGACCTTAAGAGGGCAGAATCTGCAGACTGGAGACACAGCTGTGTATTACTGCGCTCATGGATCACAGTGAAACACATCAACAGACACCCTGTACAAAAACTCATGCTGTGTATAAATCCTCACTGTACGAGTTTTCTCAGTAAGAAATGTTCAAACAAACTTTTTCTCATTTTTTATTCCGATATGACAAAATATTTAGCTTTTAATGGTTTTACAACAAATCATTAAACAAATAGATAAAGTAACTTAATACTTTACAGCTTTTCCCTTTGATTCCCTTAAATGTTGAAGTTTTGTGTGCAAATTGGCAGACAAGCTTTTACTGAAAGATTCAGTATTTTTCCACTCAGCATTAAACAGTTGAAAAACAGTTGAAAAACATTTCCAAGCTAGTTTATGTTTAATGTGAGACTAAACATTCTCTATAGGGTTTACATCTGGACTCTGAAACAGGACAAAACCATCAGTAAAACCAATATATTTTGGACTTGGCCCATTTGTTTCTCATTGTTAAGCACACCACCCATGACGTCATGATGCAAATCCAGTGTGTTGTGGCTCCATCCAGTGCTTATGTGCTGCTGAGCTGAGTGGAGCAGTAGAGTCTCATCAACACTCACCATGAAGAACACACTCTCCTTATTACTGATACTACTCAGCTTCAGCAGTGAGTTTTCTAACCTATAAAAATAATCATATCAACCTGTAACAATTTTTGTACAAAGCCTGCCTGTAAATGATGTCTCTCTTTTTTCTGACAGGTATAAAATGCCAAAGTCTTGAGTCCATTTCTTCTGGTTCTGTGCTGAAAAAGCCTGGATAAACTCTGAGTCTCTCCTGTAGAGGATCTGGATTTGATTTTGGCAACTCTGGATTGCACTGGATCAGACAACAGGCTGGAAAACCACTGGAGTGGATGGGGCTTATCTATTATGATGCCAGTAAAACTATATATGCCAAACCTTTTGAAGGACGTTTGGAAATTACCAGACAAAACTCTCAAAACATGGTTCTGAATCTGGTATCTGAAGCTGAGTGGCTTGACTGCACAGGACTCAGCTGTGTATTACTGTGCAGCATAACACAGTGGTACAAACATGTGAGCCAGCTGCACAAAAACTCACCAGAGTGGTTAAAGTAGGGGATCAGATCTTACATATGACCCAATCAGATCTGTAGGGGGTGCTAGAAGATTAAAAATACATTGCAACATTTATCAAACATTACTTCAGGAGTTTTATGTGAAGAGTAGAAGATACTTTCCCTCTTTCTGTCCTTGAAACCCATGAATTCCCTTCATTATTTACTCATAGCATTTTTTAGCATTTTTATAATATTAGTGAATATATGTTATTTTTTGTTCAATTTAGTCAGCCAGTTAGATCTCCCTATTATATGATGATTATTGTCTGCTATTAACGCTTCATTATTGGACAAATTAAAACACTTGGAGGAGAATGCTAATTCTTGGCCTACAAAACAGATGGTTCTGCAGGAGTTCTTCAGTAACGAAAATGGTTCTATATAGAACCATGAACAATCAAAGGATCTTTTGTATGGTTAAAGGGTCTTTTGCATCACGAAAGGGCTGTTCAGATTGATGGAAAATGTTTGTGAATGTGCTATGGATGGTTCTATACAGAAGCTTTTTGAAAAGGGTTCTATTTAGCACCCAAATAGGCTCTTCTATTGTTACAAGCTTGACATTTCAGTAATAGAAGAAGCTTTCTGAGTGCTACATAGAACCATTTTCAAAATTGTTCTTAAGAAGGACCCTTTCATGATACAACGATCCCTTTAACCATGTAAAGGTTTTTGAGTGTTCATGGTTCTATATAGAACCATTTTCTTTACTAGAGAACCCTTGAAAAACCATCTTTTTTAGTGTGTATAGGCTCATTTACAGATTAAATGACATATTAAAGGATAAAAATTCATGTTTATAGAGTCACTGTGGACTGACAGCTGGAATCAGATGTGTTTACTGGTTGTGTGGTGTCAATTAGCCTGTTAGCTGTTGCTAAGTGTTGTGCTGCTGTACATAGATTTTATTGGTATTTTCTGGTCCTGATTTAGCAGCACATCAGATAGAAAGGTAGGTGGTGTTGCTGGAGCCTATTCCAGTGTTCACTGGGCAGAAGGCAGGATACACCCTGGACAGGTCGCCAGTCCATCACAGGGCAGACAAACAGACAAATACATTCAACACACACACACACTCACACCTAGGGGCAATTTAGCATGTTCAGTTGGCCTGACTGCATGTCTTTGGACTGTGTGAGGAAACTGGAGGACCCAGAGGAAACACACGCAGAGGCAGGCAGAACATGCAAACTCCTGAACCACATCTGACGAGGTAACATTAAGTAAATTTGTTGAGCGGCTGAGCTTTAGCTTCAAATTTACTGCAAAATACAACAAAAGCTTATCTACACACAGGTGAACAAAGCTCTGCTGTTATGTACACAATATGAATGTACTAAGTACTTAAGGTCAGCTGATGAGTGAAGTCATCCCTCTGAAACTGTAACTATGCAAATCCTCCTCCCTTTATGAAGAGACGCTGAACAGCACTGAGAGATCTGCAGAGAAAAGCTCATCAGCTCAGACACAACCTCAACCATGTTCAGCACATCTCTAACACTGCTGATGATCACTAGTCTACCATGTATGTCTCAGGATTAGAATAAGAGAATCAAATAGCAGAGAAAATCTTTCTGTAATCATGTTTCATTCAGAACTTTAATTCTTCTTCTTTTCTGCAGGTTTTCAGAGTCAGACTCTCACTCAGTCTGAAGCTGTGGTTAAAACACCTGGAGAATCTCATAAACTGACCTGTACAGCATCTGGATCATCATTCAGGAGCTATTATATGGGCTGGATCAGACAGGCTCCTGGAAAAGGACTGGAGTGGATTGCATATATTGGCACATCCAGCTCTCCCATCTCCTATTCCCAGTCAGTCCAGGGAAGATTCACGATCTCCAGATCCGACTCCAGCAGTCAGCTGTACTTACAGATGAGTAGCCTGAAGAGTGAAGACACTGCTGTGTATTACTGTGCAAGAGACTCACAGTGATAGAAAACAGTGACAGAGCTGTACAAAAACACTTCCCCATTCTGTTACAGAGGAAAGCTGCTGTTATGCAGTCAATGTTTGGAGCGCTTAATGTTTGTTTTCAGAAAAGCTTGTTTTTGCAGATAAACCAACTCCTTTTTTTTAGTTCAAATATGCTATATATGAATATTAAGTATTTATACAGTACATGATAGTGTTAACCACTTATTACCTTACCTTATTATCTGTATTGTAAAATTCTACCTTTTCTACCTATTGCATTGAATGACTTCTATAAATTATTGTCAAATACTTTGTCCAGCCTGTCTGGCACCACCAATCATTCCATGAGCAAAATCACTGAGATCACATTTTTCCCCTTTCTGAAGGTTGATTTGAACATTGCTGGGCCATATCTGTGTGATTTGGGGCACCACCCTGTTGCCACTTGATTGGCTGATTAGATAATTGCATAAAAAAGTGTACAGGTGTCCCCAATAAAGTGGTCAATGAGTGGAGATCTCTACAGATTCTACAGTCTTGACACTTAGAATGTCATTATTAGTACATTTATTTAATTGTTTATTTGCTTTACTGTTTAAATGAAATGATATTTTTACATAAACATACACTAGATACATATACTCTTCAACAGTGAATGTGGAAGAACATTTTAGAACAGCAACAATGTACTAGAACAGTCTAGAACAATTTAAAGACAGAAAAGCTCTACATATTCTAATCACTCACAAGCACAGAGCACTGGGTCTGTGTGCTCTGGTCTTGTTTCAAGAATGTTCTTTTCTATTTCTTGCGGTTCATTTGGCTTATGAGGTTTTATTCAGGAAGAGTATGAAGCCCCTTGTCTATACTAGAGTGTCGATGTTTGAATGGGAATGGTGGGTCACAGTGTTCTGGACTTCCTCTATGACAACAGTAGAGGGAGACGTTTCCTCAAGAACTCTGCATTCACTGACCAGCACTCATCATCTAGTATAGTTGCATCCTGTAATTTGGTTAAAAACATTGCAGAAAAATATGCTTCGACCTTCTCTGTGATGAAGACCACTGTAGATATATCTGTCTGTAGTGAAGCTTAAATATGGTGACAAGCTTTTTACACAGACTGCAAAAATGAAATGATCTCATCAGGTAGTCTTCAGGTTGCTGGATCAATGCCTGGACTTGATCTCATTGTTCAAAAGCTCAAACTCTAACTTTCACCTGAAAGTTTGTTTTGTTAGTCTATTCTGTTTCAGTTTATGTTTAACAGCCCCACTCACAAGCCTAAAGTGACCTAATTACAATTAATTAGAAAGGATCTCCAGTTTAATGCATTTATAATGTATCATTAGGATTTATTTAAAAAATGATTTGGTATCCTGAATATAAAGTCTGAAGTAAAGCTTCAGAGTTTTCACATAATCACATCAACCCTTAAACAGTGATATAATAGCAGCCTCTCTATGCAAATATTCTGCCTTGTCCTACATATTTAAGTCACTGCAGGTGAAGATCAATAGCTTCCACTCATTCACCATGTTCTCCACATCTCTACTGCTGCCGCTGCTGCTGCTGGCTGCTGTGAGCTGTAAGTACTTGTTAGATTATAATCTTTATCTGAATAAGATTTATGCATTAAAAACTATAAGAAATCACACATGAATTGTGTCCAACAGGTGTTCACAGTGTTGAGCTGACCCAGCCTGGATCCATGGTCATTAATCCTGGTCAGTCGATGTCACTGACCTGTAAAGTTTCTGGATATTCTCTGACTGATGACAGCTACTGTACAGACTGGATACGTCACCCTGCAGGAAAAGCTCTGGAGTGGATTGGAGCGATATGTGGTAGTGCTAGCACTGACTACAGTGATAAACTGAAAAGCAGGTTTGAAGTTTCCAGAGACACGTCCAGCAGCACAGTGACCTTAAGAGGGCATAATCTGCAGACTGGAGACACAGCTGTGTATTACTGCGCTCGTGAAGACCACAGTGAGACACATCAACAGGAACCCTGTACAAAAACCTCTGCTTTGCACCTGCCTTTCGAGCTACACTGAAAGAACTGATTTACCAAAAAACTAAGATTACCAAACTGTGAATGTTTAAAGCATTAAAATTCACCCTCACTAAGAAACCACACCAACAGACAACCAAAAAAAATGCCTTAAAAACAGATATGATTCTCTAATGGAAATCACTGCATGGGCTCAGGAACACTTCTACGTCACTGCATCCACAAATGCAAGTTAAAACTCTAAAATGTAAAGAACAAACCATTTGTAAACAGGATCCAGAAATGCTGCCACCTTCTCTGGGCTCGAGCTCATTTTAAAATTGACTGAGGCGAAGTGGAAAAGTGTTCTGTGGTCCGACAAATCAACATTCGAAATTCTTTTTGGAAATTATGGACACTGTGTCCTCCAGGCTAAAGACCACTCAGCTTGCTATCGGTGCAGAGTTCAAAAACCAGTATTCATGATGGTACAGGGGGACATGCGTGCACATGGCATGGGTGACGTGCACATCTGTGAAGGCACCATTAATGCAGAAATGAAAGCTTTAGCGCAAGTTCTGCCAGGAAGACTCCAATGCTACGTCACTCATTACTCTAATCAATCACAAGCTTCCACCTGTCTTTAAAATGACTCGCCTTACACATCTGCTTTGCTGCTTTCAGATGCTGACGTTTTGTCGTTCCTTTTCGAGTCAATTCCCTCGGTGTTGCTACTCGCAAGTATTCTGGCAAGAAGCGGCTTGGCTCAACTTTGCTATGCACGTCGTTCCTCGGGGTCGTTCTGTTATTTCTTGCTTACTCCGTGGTTAATGTGCGTGATGTCGTTGCCCTTGACGATGGCTGCCGGTCCTATCTGCGGTTCTGGTCTCGGCTCGTCGAGCAATGGAACAGCATCTCCTTTTACTCCGACGTGGTTGAGTCCTCGGATTCTCTTGCTTTGTTCACTGACGCCGCTCCCTCAGTTGGTTTTGGGGGGTACTTCCAAGGGCAATGGTTCACAGAGAAATGGCCAGCCGAATTCTCTGAATTTGCCCTTGGATCTGCTTCCTCGGCACTGCACGAGATTTATCCCACCGTCGTCGCTAGCATTCTGTGGGGTGAGGCTTGGTAATATTTTTTTTTGCGACAACGAAGCCGTGGTTGCCGTCATTAACAAAGGAAGGTCATCATGTAGCACTTAGAGGTTTAACATGGCAATCAGTCATTCATAACTTTATTGTGACAGCTGAACATATTCCTGGCCATTTTCGATCTCGTTTACAGGAGTTCAGACGTCTCTGCCCCTCGGCCTACATGGATCCAACATCTTACCCTCTTTTCACCCTACTCATTTTGGACGAAATAACTATTGTAACGCCTTGCTATATTCAGCCAAATATTGTATGTCAAAAGGCTTAGCCCCTTCTACTCTTAAAGCTTTTAACTCCAAGTGGGCTTGGTTTGTTCTGTTCTGTCTTTCACTACAAATTCCGATTTTTTTTTTTCCATACTCATGACAACAGTTTGCACATTCATCGTTCATAATTATCAGACTCGCAATCTTAAAGCCGCTTCAATTTGCGAATGTTAGCAGGTATCCAATTCCATGCTAGATGTAATGACCCTGACTATCCTAGTTTATTCTCCAACCCAGCTATCCGCTTGCTTCTTAAAGGTTTAAATAAATCTGCACCACAAGTTTCAGATAAACGTTTACCCATAACTCCTGAAATACTGCAGATGCTTATCTCTGCTCTACGTGAAGGTCTTTTACACCTTTCATTAACACTTTACTTGAGGCTGTTTTTCTCGTGGCTTTTTAGGGTTCCATGCGTCCAGGGGAATTCACTTCTAACACTCAGTTATTCGATCCCACACGAGGTCTCACACTGTCTGATATACACTTCTCGCCTCACTTCTTTACTATCTTCCTTATACACTCTAAGACAGACTTCTCTGAAGCTGGTGTTTCTATTAAAATCTGTAGACTAAACACCTCCTTCTGTCCCTGTTCCTCTATGACCCGTTATCTGAAACTACGCCCACCTACTGTCAACTCACCTCTGTTTATATTACCAAACGGCTTTCCTATGACTGCACAATGGTTCAAAATGTGGACTGTCCACATCTCACTACATAGGCAATTCCTTTAGATAGGAGCAGCTACAACCGAAGCTAAACTTGGTCTACCCATCAATTCAATCAAGTTGCTTGGGAGATGGTCCTTGTCTGCCTATGAATCCTACATAAAGCTAGATGCTCATCATGGATGCTCAGTTGGCTCTCTCAAAATCTGTCAAGGTATATTTTATTTCTTGCAACTACTGGTGGCGGCTACTGATCTTGCAATTGAATGAACACTGCATGATTTAAGTTAAAACTTTGCTTAACTCTCTAAGTAATACCTCTTTAACGTTATACATTTTAATCTTTGGCAATCGGTTATGCATTTATGAGCTCATCTGCCAAGCCATTGCATGCCTATATGAGCTCATTGCTGAGCAAATGCCATGTAATCTCAATACATAAATGGGCCATCATCATAACAAACACTTGCATATATGGACCAGTCACCTGAGCAAACGCTATGCTTATTTTGGCTCATAACCTAGGCAAAACGCAGCAATTAATGTGAGGGCACGTCGCCCCAATGAAAGCTATGCATGTACAGGCCTGTCGCCCAAGCAAAAACGCTATGCATGTGAGGGCGCGTCGCCCTAACGAACGCTATGCATGTGAGGGCGCGTCGCCCTAACGAACGCTATGCATGTGAGGGCGCGTCGCCCTAACGAACACTATGCATGTGAGGGTGCGTCGCCCTAAAGAATGCTATGCATGTGAGGGCGCGCCGTCCTAACGAACACTATGCATGTGAGGGTGTGTTACCCTAAAGAATGCTATGCATGTGAGGGCGCGTCGCCCTAAAGAACGCTATGCATGTGAGGGCGCGTCGCCCTAAAGAACGCTATGCATGTGAGGGCGTGTTACCCTAAAGAATGCTATGCATGTGAGGGCGTGTTACCCTAAAGAATGCTATGCATGTGAGGGCGCGTCGCCCTAAAGAACGCTATGCATGTGAGGGCGCGTCGCCCTAAAGAACGCTATGCATGTGAGGGCGCGTCACCCTAAAGAATGCTATGCATGTGAGGGCGCGTCGCCCTAAAGAACGCTATGCATGTGAGGGCGCGCCGTCCTAACGAACACTATGCATGTGAGGGCAACCCGTCACCCAGCGATCATACTGCATGTGTGGGCCCGTCGCCCAGCGATCTTACTGCATGTGTGGGCCCGTCGCCCAGCGAACATAGTGCATGTGTGGGCCCGTCACCCAGCGATCTTACTGCATGTGTGGGCCCGTCGCCCAGCGAACATAGTGCATGTGAGGGCGCGTCGCCCTAAAGAACGCTATGCATGTGAGGGCGCGCCGTCCTAACGAACACTATGCATGTGAGGGCAACCCGTCACCCAGCGATCATACTGCATGTGTGGGCCCGTCGCCCAGCGATCTTACTGCATGTGTGGGCCCGTCGCCCAGCGAACATAGTGCATGTGTGGGCCCGTCACCCAGCGATCTTACTGCATGTGTGGGCCCGTCGCCCAGCGAACATAGTGCATGTGAGGGCGCGTCGCCCTAAAGAACGCTATGCATGTGAGGGCGCGCCGTCCTAACGAACACTATGCATGTGAGGGCAACCCGTCACCCAGCGATCATACTGCATGTGTGGGCCCGTCGCCCAGCGATCTTACTGCATGTGTGGGCCCGTCGCCCAGCGAACATAGTGCATGTGTGGGCCCGTCACCCAGCGATCTTACTGCATGTGTGGGCCCGTCGCCCAGCGAACATAGTGCATGTGTGGGCCTGTCGCCCAGCGAACATAGTGCATGTGTGGGCCCGTCGCCCAGCGAACATAGTGCATGTGTGGGCCCGTCGCCCAACCAAACGTAGTGCATGTGTGGGCTCGTCATCCAACCAAACATGGTGCATGTCCTTGTATCTGATGTTTACATAGTAAATACCGCAGTACTCCTTACGTAATGTAAGCATGAAATTGTTGCTCTCTGCAAACAATTTACAGCGTTGAGGCCTTGGCCTCTAAAACTTGAGTTTTCTTTTAACCTGATGAAAACTTTAAGCTTAAAGCCGCTTAGGTACTCCAGGTGACCTATGCGTTAGAGCAACTAAGTTCTGTCATTTATTACACCACCACAATGGTATTTAGAATGATGAGCCCATTCACTTATCACTCCATTTTAGCATATGCAATAATTAAAAGCACTTAGTACACTTAATCAGTAGTTTAATTGCACTTGTTACTAATACCACAACCTGTACTTTTATTGGATATATACTGATGCATCTTGCTAATATCTCTTATGTTCCTTTTCAGACTAGTCAATCCAGGTAAAGCCTTTCCCGGTGGGTATCCATTATATCTTACAAATCTTTTGGGGTATGCTCCGCCCCCTGCCGTCCCTGTACGGCAGGATCTGCGAAGCTCTACACGTCAAAATACCTGGGCTGGTGACGGGGCCCGCGCCAAGAACTTTAACTTACAAAATTTTGTTATCTATGGAATTGTTAAATACTATTAGATTAAACTATTTTCCTTCCTTCACGTTCGTCTCTGGAGTCTTTCTGGTAGAACAATACAGACATGTTTTGGCAACATATACTGCTGTTCAGACGGCGTCTTTTTCAGGGAAAGCCTTGATTATTACAGTAAGACAACGTCAAACCACATTCTGCCTGTATTACAGCAGCATGGCTCCGTATTAAGAGTCTGGGTGTTAAACTGGCCTGCCTGTAGTCCAGACCTGTCACCACTCATAACATTTGGGACATTATGAAATGAAAAATATGACAAAGGAGACTCCGAACTGTTGAGCAGCTAAAATCATATATCAAACAAGAATGGAAATACATTTCACTTTCAAAACCACAGCAGTGTCTCCTCAGTTCCCAAATGCTCTCAGAGTGTTTTTTTGCAATGAGTTGTTGGCATCAAATTCAAAATGGACATATATTTTTCAAAAAAGTATAAAATTTCTCAGCTTCAACATTTG